ATATTTGGCTGGGGTGATATGACCCTGGCACCCGTTCCTGTGTGGGGCAGGGGGTCAGACCTGATGATCTGTTTAGTTCCCTTCCAACTCTAAGCATTATGATACTATCACACTATGATTCTCAGGGGTGATCTGGTGGCTGCCTATAAGTATGTAAGGAGTGTGCATCAGGATCTGGGGGAACATCTGTTCACCAGAGCACCCCAAGAGATGACAAGGACCAACGATCATAAACTTCTCCATGACTGGACATAGGAAAAACATCTTTACTGTCCGAGCCCCCAAGGCCTGGAATAGACTCCCTCCAGAAGTGGTGCAGGCACCTACTCTGGACTCATTCAAGAAATGCTTGGATGCTTATCTTACTGGAATCCTCTGACCCTAGCTGACTTCCTGCCCCTGGGGCAGAGGGCTGGACTTGATGATCTTCAAGGTCCCTTCCAGCCCTAATGTCTATGAAATCTATTAAATTACTAAAGCTACCCTATAAAACTACTACAGAATCTTAAGAAGAAGATCAAGTCATCTGAAGTGATGAGCTTCCATTTGCTGACAAACATTAAAAGTCTTCTCCCTTGCCTCAAGAGTTTCTTGAAGTGAAGTGAAGTGAAGTGAAGTGAGACAGGCATTTGGCAAAGTCAGGACTGAGTCTCTTGATTATCTCTACTGGGGAAGCTCTGAAATGCAAATATGAATTCACTGCATCTCTTTTCCCCTATTGCTAGGTCCCTTCCCTCACCACAATCGCATTACATTTCTCACTCACTTTGCTAACTAGGTCTCTAACGTAAGTGGGAAAGGCCCACCCAGGAATGCTCTCTGCTGTCCTGCAGGAGGACAGGATTGGACAGAATTAGAGAAGTGCATTATAGAGACTCAGCACAGTAGGCCTCACTGGAGTATGGATTAATACAGCCATTAATCAGTCCATACACAAATCACACAGAGGTCAAGATAACAGCATTAACCAAAGGTGGCTTAAGAACAGAACCAGACTTACCACATATGGCTTGCATAAAAGTGCTGGAAAAGTACCTGGTTAGTCTCAGAGGTGCCTCCAAGACCAACAGATAGAGAGTGAATTAGTAAGAGAACAAATCAGATCAGAGTGACCTGGCAAATAGGTGTCCCTCTTTAATGCGAAGGCTGCACTCACTGGTGAGAAGTAGGCTGTGGATGATGTCACCTATCGATGTTTTAGTAATTGGCAGATGCTGTAAACAATAAACTGTTTTGAGCGGTGTATAAAAAGGAGCTTGGGAACCCCTAATAATTTGTACTGGACTTAGGGGGCACATCCATTGCATATTATGTCTGTACCATGCCTTCAAATAACCATCATGTACAGGCTGTTATGGATCCTAGTGGCCATGGATGGATCCAGAATCATGGAGAGGGGGGTGCAGCCACAACCCCATTTTGACTGTGTGCTGCTTGTGCTGTCAAGAGAGCTCACTGCGCATGTGCAAGACAGCTGAAGGGGGAGTGGCCACACCCCAACTCAACATGATCCTGGATGTCAGTGAACTCAATGAGCTCCAAGCTCACCAACTAGTCAATGTGCAGTCTGACCAAAGTCCCTGCTTTTGCACGGTTCCCGAGTCCAGGGGGTAAATGCTGCTGACATTCACCCTCTCCCCTCCCTACACACCTCCATGACTTCAGCAGCAGGAGAAAAGAGGGGATGAGCAGTGGTAGTACTCAGCCCCTGCTTTCATACAGCTCCAGGGCCCAGGGTTGATCAATGCCACTGTTTGTCCCCTTTTCTCCCCTGCTGATGAATAAAGATGGGAGGGAAGGGAGGAAGGATGAACAGTGGCAGCATTCACCCCCTGGGTTCTGGAGCTGCATAAAAACAGGAGCTCTGGCCAGACATCATGCTGACTAGATGGTGAGCTCAGAGCTCATGGCACATGCAGTAGACAGCCAAAGTGAGGTATGACCATGCTGCCACACCCACGTGGATCTGTCCCTCCTACTGTTTAGGCTTGTCTGTGGACAGTAAACCTGGCCAAGTTTTTTACCACTAAGAACTGAAGAATGCAAGCATTTCTTTAAAAGCATTCCCTTAGTTTCACAGTAAGCCTCTCCGAAGCTTCAGCCTCCTGCACATAGCTCTGTTGAGGCAAAGGCACTGAAAGAGCACCTTCTCAGAAAGGTGCCTAACCCAGCAAAGTATTAGACTTTTTCACCCCTATAGAAGTCTGAGATACTATAGATACCAGTTAAAGGAGCAACTTTTTTAGCTCCAGGTGTATAAAGATGATGGTTTTAGCTTGGAAGATCATAGGTTCAAGTCTTCTGGTGGCTTGAAGTGTACTCGGGTGAGACCAAGATAATTCAAAGGAGCAGGCTGGATAGGGCTGTGTGTCTGAATTGGGAAATATCATAGTCAAGTGGTGCTCAAACTTTTTGTCCCACAGGCCAGATGTGCAGTGCCTGGGTCTATCTGTGGGCCAGATCAGGGCAGTGAAACCAATTTAGCATGTGGGGTGGGCACAGCATAGCCTGATCCAGTTGCATAGAAGGGGGCAGGGAGCAGCCTGGCCTCTATCCAGACACATGGAGTGGAAGGGGCATAGCCCACCTCAATCCAGGCCCACAGAGAGGGCATGATCAATTCCTGATCCAGCCACATGGGGGGTAGGAGGCATGGGCCAGAACTGATCAAGCTGCACAGAAGGGAGGAAGGAGGTTGGGGTGGAGGGAGCGGGTGTAATTTGGCCACAATTTGGATGTGCAGAGCTTGGGACTTTAGCACTGCTTCGCTGTTACCAAACTTCCTCACCCATGGGGAGCCCTGTGGGCTGGATGCCTTGGTTCCATGGGCCATATGTGGCTTGCAGGCCAGTGGTTGAGCACCTCTACTATAAGCAGTCCAGACGCACAAGAAGAGTTGCAAGTAAACAGCTTGTGCACTAATGTTACGATAACATGATACCTCTATAAGCCCTGGGTTGCTGTCAGACCCCATTCACTTCCTGGAAGAATAAACAATATCCAGGCCTCTTAACTTCCCAGTACAACCCATATCTTGGCAAGGTACTTACCTCAGTATACAGAAATCCTTCATCCACCCGGGATTTGCTGGAAAACCCTATGAAGACTGTCAGACAATAAATTGACATTTGATTAGCCAGGGACCTGAAACAGAGGGAAAACTCTCTTTTCAACTCTACTTTCCTTGAGCAAAACATTCAAGATAACGAAGGATATAAAGTAATAAAAACTAGCTACTCTCTCTCTCATCCTTGTCCATGTGACAGGGGAAGATGAGGAAACATTAAACAAAATTTAAGGTTAATGATAAGTGTGAATGAATACAAATATGAAACATTTTTACATAGCACTTATCTGATCAGTGATCAGGGCTCAGTTTTATAAAAGACTGGATAATTTTCGGACAATTAATAACAAAAGGTTTGTTGTTTAAGCTGAAACAATGACGAAGCGACCAAATGGCAGGCTTTAGCATACAAGCAGCTGAAATCAGAATAATAATAAAGCACCACATTTTTTCCCTTTTCCACACATTAGTCTACGTATTTACTCTTCTTCAACTTTCTCTCTCTCTTGCACAAGGAACTGTAAAGATTAAATATTCTGCTTGGTTTTTTTTTCTTTTCAAACTTATCTCTGTCTCATTTGAGGCCTAGATTGTAAATTTTGTGTTGTACCAAGAGCATTTTTATCTTCATACAAACATGCAGCATTTCACCTTATTTGCATAAAGAATCGATGTGCAGCATGGCTCATTTTGCATCCCCTTTGCTTGTTTCTTTGCTATAAGCCCAAAATGTCTGAAACTCCCATGTAGGCAGGCTTATCAGGTAGTGATGATAAAGTGGGTTGTTCTTTGCAATCTTGTAAGGCTTTTTAGAAAAGAAGACTCCACTCTATATAGATACACTACAGCTACAGTGAAATCCAGCCAGAGGATATAAATTTTAAATGTCCTAATCCCCAACAAACACAAATGAATTGTACTTGAAGTTTCAAACAAGGTGTCTACTTTTTAATGCCTCTTGGTTAGCAGAAGAAGATGGGGTATCATTTTACTTTGTGGGAGTACTACACCTCACTTTTAGATCTTTTAGGGCATTACATTTTGGGGACTTCCTGCCCCTGTGTCCCTCCCCCAGTCACACTCAAGTTAGCATTATTGTTCCTAAGGGGCCACCAGTCTTGTTCATCGCAGTTGTTTGAGCCACCTGGAAAATTAAGAGTAAAATGGCTCTTCAGATAAAGATTACATCATTTAACCTCCTCATAGTTTAAAATGGCTGGCCTCCTGACAGTAAACAAACTGTTTAAATGTCCTGCTTTCAGCTGAACACTGGTTTAATACACTCATTTAAAAAAGATTTGTAGTGATCTCGACGTTCTGGATGAGTGAATTTTAATTAAAACTTTCATGAGCTTGCTATATAATCTACAAGAAAGTTTGCAGAGAATTTTCAGAGTACATTTGGGACTTGTATACAACTTGGAGCAGTTTGTTTGTGGTAATTTAACTTCAGCTGTTTTAAAATCCATTTGTTAAACTGCTGTGGAACTCTATATGCTCATACTTAGGTTGAAGATTTGGCTTTATACCGGGTTCATATCAATTTGAAAAATGTCAACACAATTTCTGCACTGATTTTATTGCATAGTTTTAAAAATCACACTTTTAGTAAACTAGTGCAACTTTTGGCTTAGAGAGAGCCTTGGAATTAGGCAATACTATATGGCCTGTAAAAAGACGGTAATATATCTCAAAGTCAGCAAGTGCCATCTTTAATGCAGGAGAAAGAGAGAGGTTGAAACAACTTTCCTCTGACTGGACCAAATTGTTGATTTTTAGCATTAGACCTAGGAAGCAAACACTTAAGTTTAGTCATCCTTCTATACTTCATTTCACTTCCTTTCCCCTGACCACACTGATCTCACCACATGGTGTTGTGTTAGTTTAAAATCATATCTATTTTCCACCTTCCAAGTGAGAAATTTCAAAGACTGATTTGCAGATTTTTCTTACCGGGGTATTGTTCAAAAGATTTGGGGAGGTAGCACTTCATTTTCAGTCAGCTAAATAAAAGTATGAAACTCTTCTTTGTGCTAGGCTGCTAGGAGCCTGTTCAGCAGATAAAGATTTTCTCAGTGTATTTAATCTAATCTGTGCATTTTAATCCTAACTGACATTTTGAACATTCTATTTGAATAAGGAACTGCCTTAGACTGATTATGGAGTAAAACTTAGATGATGACAATGAGAGTTATGAATGCTATATTCAAATTGCAAGAGATATGGAGTGAGCAGCTGAAAAGTTTCCCCGAGGTGGAACGCTTCATTCTCTGAATGTCAGTGATTGCTGTTTGAAAAGCAACTCAGTACCCTAATAGAACAGCCAAAGCATTTTTGTTTTCTTTCCACTTCATTGCTATCGTGCACAAAAATCTCCAATGGAAACAAGCCAGGGTCAAAATCTTGAAGCTTTTCTGGGATCAGACTCAACTGCAAATGTAATCAGTAAGATGCACTTATTCCAACTCTCAGACTGGAAAATAAGCAAATAAAGTGCTCTTTATTATAACAGAATATTTTAATTAATTGAGGAATTGTGACTTTTGTTGTTAGTGTCTAAGGATTCACCATAGAAAAGCCTGCTTTGTGTAAAAAGGACATTTCTTCATGGGCCTAGAATTCTTGCCTAATCTGATGTTGCCTCCCCATGCATAAAGAAGTTATATGGTTTGCGTTCCTAGTAAAACCAACTACTACATCAGCAATCACATCAAGGACAGTGCTTTGGGTAAATATATGGGTACAAAAAGGCTGGGAGCTCCTTTACATTTCATTTGAATGTATTATTAGTATTTTAAATATTTTTTTAAATACCGAGTAGTCAAAGTCATTTGCATGCAAACAGAGTTTATATGAAAGCAAACATCTTGACATTACAGTTATAATGGCCTTGGGATAAGATTAGAAAGAAATCTGCATGCTTCCCTAAGCTTGGCAGTACTTGGAGCTGGTGTTTTTATGACAGAGGATGGGGGATGCGTGACTTGGTAGTATATAGTACAGAAATACATCTTTGGGGCAAGCGGTTGCCTGTGCTAGTTACTTCAGAACAGTCACAGGGCTGTGTCGCTAGAAATGATCCAACAAGTGGTTTGTCATTTATCCTACTTCAAAATCTCTGTTACTGATTCAGATGCAATTACATCTTGGGGACTGGGGTCTTATTTTCATCTCAAAAAAGTATACTGCTAAAACTCATGTGTGTAATTATCAAATCCAGCTTACTTTATATTGGTAAATTTGTAACAATTTAAAGTTATACTGATTTTCCTTTAAAGAAATGGGTATACCTTTGAAGGAGGAGCTGAGAATAAGGAATCATAATCAACCTTGTTTCAGATCTTTGTAGTCCATAAGAGCTTACTTCTCTTAGATTAATTGACAGTTTGAGGTGGGGAGGGAAATAAAAAAAAAGAACATCACATTTACAATATGTTTTAATTGCAAAACTTTTATTTTCATACAATGTGATGTCAGTTAACACAACCCCCTTGGGAAGCACTAACATGTTTAATAAACACAGTACTGGAAACTACTATTCCTAGGCATTGCTAACAAATAAACATTTCACAAAAGAGAAGAAGTGTTCTGTGACTACAGTTATCACTGGCTCAAAAGGCATTCCTGCCAGCATGGATGCATTGCACAGAGCCTACAGACTGAAGGGCTTGACCTGACCTGAACAGGACAAGGCTCAGCACAAACCACCCAAAACTCGGACCAGTTTGAGAAGAAATGGGAAACCACAATCAACTAGTCAAAAATAAATAACAGACTTACCCCTGTTGTATGGTTCTGTATCTCTGAGATGTCACTGCACTTTTATATTGCCATCTTCCCTTAGCTTTAGTACTAAAAAGGGGGAGAAACATATGCATCATTTATCATATTTGCAGCAAAAAGGAGTTTGTAGAAAACCATTATCTAAGGTAGACAGACATGAGTATAACCAAATCACTTACATTCAGCTCCATATAGAGTGCTGCACTTCCAGAAACAGCCTGCAACCCTCTGAACTCAGTTTATATCTCTTGGAATGGCTGCTCAGTGACAGTCTCCTCCTGGCCCCTCCCCAGCTTTGCATTAGGCACCGTCCACAAAGTTCAGTGAAAATCCAACTGAGGGACCCTTTCAAAAGTTTCTTTATTGTACCTTGATCCTTCATACAACACTTTCATGGTAGTCAACTATTTATTTCACAAAATGAAATACTGTACACATTTTCAAAATAAAAATAATGGATGCATTGTGCTATAAATCAGGTTATACAGAAGGAAAGTATTGGAATTAAAACATCCTACATCTCCATATAGTACCTTAATAAATTTCAGCATGCAAGCCAAGCTTTTGAAGAGCTGTAAAGTTTGTGGCTTGTGTTTTAAATGAAGAAGGAACAACACAGGGACATTGGAGATTTCAGGGATCTGTGATTTTTGTGCTGGATTTTGGAGTTTAATTGCTAGATTCCAACAAAATCTAGCCATTTTCTAAGAGAGGTAATAAAAGGTGGTCTCTGGTGAAGTGATAATTCTTGGTTCTCAGATTCAGCCTGACGATCAGTTCATATCCTCAATCAATTCTGCATCTTGCAGTTATCTCCTTCCTCCACTGCCACGTTACATTTGTCTGATGGCTAGATATTTGCAAGTTTAACTTATTTTTAAATGCATATTGTTTGTGTAAGTGCTGAAGAAAAAAAGGAGGCAAAACTGCTTACCGAGAAACCTTTGACTTTTTGCAAAACTACTTGGATGAAGTTGCTTAACCAAACCATGCAGCCATCTTTTCTGCTGAGGAATTGCACATCACACGTATGTATCTCCATTGCCAGTTCCCCCATCCCCTTTCTTTCAGATCATTATCTCTCTTCTATAACTTGCATGGAAGCTTCACAGAAGACAGCCCTCCAGCGTGCAGCTCTGGTAATCTAGCTTTTATATTATCCACATCAAAGTGGCACAACAAAATCACTGTGTGAGTCAGGCCTACAGGAAGAACAACACTGAAGTAGATGCTAAACCTCTGTGTCTTCAAAGAATCCAGAATGCATCGGTGGCAGCAGCAGCAGCCTGCTGAAGGAAGAAACACAGGGCCTCCCACTTACTGATAAAAAAAGAAAATCATGGTTCCAAGATGGACAATCTGCTTCATCATTTGGAGAGATGTCTGCAGAAGAAATTGCTCTGTGAAAAAGCAGCTGTATGATCAAAAGTCATTGAGCTTCAGGGGTTATCGTGTGATAGCTTTATTGACAGCTATCTGTAAGAGGCAGATCAATCATCTTTTCTTACAAAGTAATGCAGGTCAGCTTCCTTGGCCCCCATTCTAGATATCTCCATTTGTGTGTGTGTTACTGCTGCTTGCTTTAGTTTTGTCACAGGCTTTGGTCAGGAACGTTTTATTTGCCCTTTTTTTAAATAAAAAAATGCAACAGTAACCACTAGAGGCAATGGATAGGTAGCCTGTATGAATCCTGATGTAACAGAAGTCACTGGACACAGAAAAAATTCAGCACATCACGCCTTTATATGGAGGTGCCAGTGATGGCTCCATAGTAAAAGCTGAGTTTTGAGTCCATATTAAATCACGTATTCAGTTTTGTTGTATGTGAGGAATTGTGTGTCCTTTTCACACAGTTGTAGCATTTATTCCTTGAATAACAAAATATGCACACATTTTTAACAACCAACCAAGGGAAACAGTCAATTTTCCATCTTGCAAGTTTTAAATTAAGACTGCTTTAGTCTGTCATGGGGTGGTGTCCCCATGGGTGGCCATGATGCCCCTGGCAGCTCTGTGACTGTGCCAGCTCCACCCTGAGGGTGCCCTCTTGTCTCACCTGCCATGTCTTGCTGGTAAGGTAAATTGGGAGGCTGCCCATGGGCCTTTGTATGGCTCTGGTCTGCTGAACTTCCCCAGAACTCACTGGTCCTTGATCCCTTTCATAGTTTCATAGTTTCTAGGGTCGGAAGGGAC